GGGGGGGGGGATGTGCCCCGCCCCCCCAGAATTGTGCGTAGGGCAGATATGGGCTGCTTGCTATGGGCTCGGGACTCTGCTGCCTTTCCCTCAGGAACCGCACCCTATCATGCCCCCTACCCACCTGGCAGGAGGAGACACAACTCATCACCCTCACTGCTGTCGGGTCTCCCGAGGGAAAAGCAGTAGAGCAGAGAGCCCCAAACCCACAGTGAACAGCCCATATCCAGCCCACACACACACCAGCATGCCTTCCCCAGGGGGTGTGCACAGTGGCAGGGAGCTGTCCCCCCCTCACACCTGCTAGATGAGCCACCCATGGCTCCATCCCACTCCCTGCCCCAGGTCCTATGCACCACCCTGGCTGGGCAGCCCCCCCAGCCCCACTCCCTTCCTCACTGTGGGGGCCTCAGTCTGGCCCCCCATGCCCCTTCCCCTCCACAGACTTACCCACAGGGAGCTGCTCTCCATGCTGCCGGGCTTTACTCTTGGCCACATGCATGTGTACAGCCACATACATGCACACAGCACCCCCTGTATCTTGCTCCTAACAACCCCAAGCAAGACCCCTTGCAGGCTAGAATGCTGTCCAACTGCAAGGGAAAACCTGCTGCTTCCCAAGGGAACTTGGGCATCTGGGAGGCCGTGGCCCTGTGGGGGAGAGGGAACTCAAGTGTCCAGGGCACTGGCCAGAAGGCATAATTATCGATCAGCATTATCAGTTACAATGGCCAAAAAAAATCCAATAACGTAAAATTTCCCTATCGGTGCCAATCCAATAGGCAACCAATATATCAGTGCACCTCTAATGTTTGACACGCCTGGCCTAAATGAATGAAAATAAATCAGCACCCAAAGTCACAGGATACTAGTCTCACCTTTTCTCTAGGGTGATCATGTGTCCTGGATTGGCTGGGACAGTCCCAGATTTCACGGGCTGTCTCGGTATCCCAGCCATTGAAGAAAACTGAATCAAAAGTCCCATACTGGTGGGAAGCCACCTGCATGTGCCCAGTTCCAACTGATTGTACCGAGCAAGGCCAATGGAATTGGGACCAGGGAGCAGCCCACTGGCTGGTCTCCCTGGAGAAAATTGAAGTAAAAGTCTCAGATTAGTGCAACCCATGGTACATGCATGACTAACTCTACTGATCGAGCCACTCCCAGCTCAAAGCCCAGTGGAGTCGGGACCAGGGAACAGCTGCTGCTGTCACCCAGAGCCCAGGTGACGTAGTGTAGCTGGGCGGGGCAGGGGAGGGCAAAGAGGGCACCAGACATAAGCGAGTGCCAAAATCCCCATCAGAAGCCTTTACCATAGCAGTGGCAACACTGTGCAGCAATCCATCTGTTAGGGGCACAGGGGTGAGTGGAAGAGTGCTTCCTTTTCCCTGGGAATTTGTTTCACAGTAGGCACAGCCCCATGCCCTATAGCATATCTGGGGGTGGGTGAAGCAAATGGAACCCCAGTGGCAGGTCCCACAAAGCCTGTGCCACAGGACTGCTACCATCAGACACTCTCTCCACCTTTGCTGCCTGTGCTCTCTACACAGGAAAAGCAGCTACTGTTGCAGTGGTACTAGCACCTGCTGTTCCTGTTCAGAGAACTTAGGCAGGTAAGAATTCCCTTTTTAGCACCCCTCTCCCCACATCCCACTTGTCAGCATATTCCACATGTCCTGGACACTGAATGAGCTCACTGTGCCTCCAATTATGGAAAATATGCAAGGGTGAAAACAACTATGAAATACATGCATCATGGTTCAGTGATAGGCAAACAGAAATATAGATTCTATTTTCAGGTCTACAGTTTCTTTCTGTATACAAGAAATACCTTTCAGACAGAGACAGACTGTCCAGAGAAAAATGGACATTGTAAAGATTTATTGCCTCCAGTCATTTTTAAAATGAATAGGTAAGTATTCCTTCTTTCCAAAAATATTAACTTTCTGCTAATTAAACCATAGGACATACCAAATTTTGTATTCCTATAGTGCCATTTAAAAAAATGTGGGGGGAGGGGGGAATGACAATAAATCCAATTTATATCCATTACCAAACAATCAAGATAATTTTTTCAAGAATCAATTCAAGATGCTAGATTTCTACCAAAAGGCCTTAATACTATATTAGATCCTTGTCAATAAGCAAGGAAAATACATATCTGAATGTTCTCATAATTTATCCTCATGTTCTCAAAGAATGGCATTATATTTCCAAACAAAAATCAAAGTAAAGTATTACAGTACTCACTGTATTGTTCCACAACCAAAGTACTTAATTATGACCATCAACAATACCTTCCAAAAAGGCATAAGCAACACCATTCTAATGTCAAAAGATCAGGGTTGTCCAACTGAGTGGCTGGGGGCCACAGGACCTGTCCCCCATACAAGCCACGCACGTGCCACACAGGCTGCACTGTGAATTTCTTCCACTCCCCGCCACACTTCTAATGCGCTACATGAGCCTCCCAAACCATAAGCTTTTTCTACACTCTCTTTTCCATTGATGCATTGCACAGCCTCCCCCTCATACTATGAGGACATGCTACAACAAGCCACCCACTGCATCAGTATGGATGCTATGCTATGTTCTCAGGCCCTGGAACCCTTCAACCATGGGCTGCACACAGCCCTGAGGGCAAGGCTACTATGTCCTACCCCCAAAGGCAAAGGCAGGCAGCAAAAGCTCAAGGAAGAGCACAGGGACTCCCACATCAGAGGAAAAGTGGGGGGGCGGGAGGAGAGCAATCCTGGACTAGAAGCCTGGAGGCTACCCATTATCCATCCCCTTAGGAAAGGGGTAGGCAATGTTTTTTGGCTGGAGTGCCGAAAAACCACAATGTCTACCCTGAAAAGTGCCCGAGTGCCAATATGCCGCATGCTTATAGGCTCAGTAGCGCTACGTTGGTTAGCACTACAGATGAAAGGGACTTGAGGGTCATGATTGACCACAAGATGAACATGAGCCTTCAGTGTGATGCTGCAGCTAGTAAAGCAAGCAAAACGCTGGCTTGCACCAATAGATGCTTCTCAAGTAAATCCCAGCATGTTGTTCTCCCCCTGTACTCGGCCTTGGTGAGGCTGCAGCTGGAGTACTGTGTCCAGTTTTGGGCTCCACAATTCAAAACGGATGTGGAGAAGCTTGAGATGGTGCAAAGGAGAGCCATGGCACATGATCAGAGGTCAGGAAAACAGACCTTATGATGAGAGGTTGAGAGCCATGGGGCTCTTCAGCCTGGAAAAGCGCAGGCTCAGGGGTGATCTCGTGGCCACCTATAAGTTTATCAGGGGTGCTCATCAGGATCTGGGGGAAACGTTTGTTCACTAGAGCGCCCCAAGGGATGACAAGATGGAACAGTCACAAACTCTGCCGTGACTGATTCAGGCTGGACATAAGAAAGAACTTCACTGTCTGAGCCCCCAAGGTTTGGAATAAACTGCCGCCAGAGGCAGATCAAGCACCCACTTTGAACGCCTTCAAGACACTTTTGGATGCTTATCTTGCTGGGATCCTATGATCCCTGCTGACTTCCTACCCCTGGGGCAGGGGGCTGGACTTGAGAGGAAAAAAAAAAAAAGAGACAAAGAAGAGAAAGAGGAGAGAGAGAGAGAAGGAAAAAAGGAGAGCAGAGAGAACCAGACGCGTGCGCGCGCACACACACACACACCAACGTGCACGAAGACAGAGAACCAGAACACACCCAGAACAGACACATGCACACCCACATCCAGAACCAGACATGTGTAGGCACACAGAACCAGAGGCAGACAAATGCAAAGAACCAGATGTGCGGGTGCATGGAACCGGGTTCCTGGGCCACTGGACAAAGTCCAACCCAACAATGCCCTGGTCCCACCAGAGTCCCTCTGCTTCCCCAGGCAGCCAGTCCCCAGGCTGCAGCACAGCGGGCCAAGGCCCCAGCCTGAAGCCTGCCCATCAGCCCAACCACCAACCCACCCTGCACAGCTAAGCATGCAAAAGGTGTGGTACTCCTGGCGAGGGACAGCACCAGCCTCATCCTGGTGGTGGGGCTGGGCTGGGGCTGGGCTCAGCGCAGGTGGGAGTCAGGTGGGCTCAGCTGCAAGCCCTGCTGCAAGCAACCGGGGCTCTGTGGTCGGCAGCAGCTACCAGAGTCTGGGCCAGCTGCAGCCAGGAGGCTGTAAACAGCTGCTCTGGGCTCCAGCATCAGCTCCATACCGGCAGGTGCATGTGCGCCTTGGAGCAGACAGTGGGGATAGGGCCTGAGGCAGCACTGAGGTGCATGTGCAGTTGCTGCCAGCATGGAGCTGATGCCGGGGCTGTGGAGCCCGGTGCAGCTGTTGGCAGCCTGCTTGCTACCTGCCGGCACTGCCCCAAGGCCAGGGCGGGCATACTGTGCCGGGCTCCAGAGCCCCGCCATCAGCTCTGTGCCAGCAGTCGGGGAGGGGTCGGGGTTGTGCTGTCTCAGGCCCCTCCCCTACCATTCACTCCAAGGCATGCATGCACCTGCCGGTATGGAGCGAATGCCAGAGCCTAAAGCAGATGTTTGCAACCTCCTGGCTGCAACTGGCCCAGGTTCTGGGTAGCTGCTGCCAACTATGGAGCCCAGTCTGCTTGCAGCAGGTCTTGCAGCTGCCCAGCTGCCTGCTGGGAGCAGCCCGGGCTTCGTGGCTGGCAGCCAGCTGCCTAGAGCTCAGGCCAGCGGTGGTGTGCTGAGCAAAATGGCTTTGCATGCCATGCTTGGCACACATGCCAGAGGTTGCTGACCCCACCTTAGGATATGCATGCAGCACATGAGCAGCTAGTTGGGACAGTCCTGCACTAGATCATGGTTTAAATAAAATGAAGTTTACACTCTGTAAAAGTCTTTCTACCAAGAACCAGGAGACTCCTTTATTTTCTATGTGAAGATACAAAGTTTTCAACATACTTAAAAAAAATTTAATGTGGTAAGAAGCAGCATAAAGACAGATGTGTGTGTGAAGCTGTGATAATCAAAATTAAAACATCAGAAGAAAACTGGAAATTAAGTGGGATCACATCAAAATAACTGCTTTGAATAAAAATTTCCACCAAATGAGAAGACAAATGCAAAGCACCATCAGGCATTTGAAACAACTATACTATCAGAAAAAAAACCCAAAAGAACTAAGTAGCAGCAATTTCTCTCCAGTTAAGAATATAGGGCAGCAGTAGTATTCTAGCTTCCTAAAAGGAGTAGCTTTTGAAAGGTCTTATAAAACTCTTTAGAGAAATAGGTAATATGTAGG